CACAATGATGATAGTGAGATATGGGACCTACAATTTTATTCTTGTCGGTTTCTCTTGCAATGAGTTTAAGAAGATAATTCCTTTTTACAGTAAGTTTGAAATAGTTTATAACCGAATATTATGATAAGGAACTCTACTTTTTTAAAAGAAAAAAAAACTAAAGTTGCCTTGTTTGTTCTGAAGTGTTGAACAATCTATGTCTTTTCAAAAGTAATTAAGCTTGCATGTGCTTAAAAGGCTTCACTGATCTTACTGTGTTCAAAACTTCTCAGTAACTCAATTTTTTCTGTCTCTTCTTCAACGGAAGAAAAAGGATCTCTTCAATTTTCTTTTCTTAGTTCTCACTCTTTCTCTTCCCAAGCAAAGAATTTAGCCTTTCATGATGACATAGAAGTTCTCACAAGAAACCATCCCCGTTCTCAATCATTGTTTGCTCATTCTAAGAAACCAACCAAGCCAAACTCTCTTTTCAGTGAATACAATCTGGTGTCGTCAATCTGATAAAACTTTTTGCATTTACATTTACATTCTAATTTGTTCTTTTCATCTTTGTGTTTCCAAATTTAAAAAAAAAAAAGTTTTAAAACATTTATATTTTCTGGAACGAGATTTGTCTTTTACTAGTTTTGTGTTACAACAATTAAAAAAACTCATAAAAAGGGGAAAAATTCGTCTCTATTTCAGCTCATTCAGTTCGAATTTGTTTTTCTTGTCATTTATAAATTTAATTTTCTGTAGACAATTTAAAAAAATAAAAAAGATTTTCTTTTGTATTTATTTCATTCTACTTTGTTTTTCAAAAAAAAAAAAAAAATCATTTGCTTAAATAATTTTTCCAAAAAAAAAAATCTCCATTTTTAGTGCAGATCCTTACCTTGGAATTGGCATTTTCAAGTCAAACTGATTAGTTTAAAGCTTCCAGCAAAACAAAAAGACTCCAGGCTTACAGGTAGAAGAAAAGGCTCTATAGGTATGTAATCTATTCGATTCCAGTTATATTTTCTATAACATCATAGCTGCTATCCATTTTTATTTTCTGTTGTTCCTTAATGTATTTTGCTTTCTTATTTTTATACTGGTTTGTTGTATAACCTTGCAATGATTCTGTTTGTATGATATCTAAACTAGGAATTTGATATAAGGATTAACATTATTTGAAAACATAAAATTTCTATGTTTTGAAGAGGCATCATACTTTAGGATAATTAAGGTTGCTAGAGCTGAGTGAACAAAGAAGGTTGAGCGAGCTTCCATACCCATGGACATTAAAAAAATAGTTATATTAAGTTTGAGGGTATAAAGTGTAGGAGGTAATGGTGACTCTACATCAAACCAATATATAATAACTTTTTTGCATTTCTTCTATTGCCAATTTATTATCTTCATTTCCATGTTTCTTTTTTTTTGGTAAAAGTTGTCTCCAGATGAATCAGCCACGTTTCACTATTAGCAAAACATTTGCCATTCGCCATGTTAAATTAAAATACGCTATATTAAGATGAATGTTGGTGAAGAGTAGGTTGACCTTCTCATTATGGAGAAAATGACAAATTATCAAAGTTGTATGAGTTCATCTCAAACTTGGATCCCATTCTCATTTCGACAAGGCTCTCTCATCTTTTATTCCATAATTTCTTCCTTCACCTTGACCGGCCTCCACATAATTCCCCCTTTTTGATTCCTCTATCAACATGCGATTCATCTTCAATCTCCATACATTTCCCCCTTCTTGATTCCTCTGTCAATACGTGATTCATCTTCAATCTCCCTCAAGCCATAAAAAGTAAAACGAAAAAGAAGGAAGGAGAGTGAAAAATGAAGAGGTGCAGGGATAAGTGTTAGAAGTTCAGGAAGAAGCACACAATGTTCATTTATGAAATGTTAGAAGTACAGAAAGAAGCACCTAATGTTCATTAATGAAAGAAAAAACAGATAAGTACTTACTATCCAAGGAAACATGTGATTTGATTCCTAACCATGAACAGAACATACCCACAAGCTCTTTGCATCCTCAACACACTCAACTCACCACAGAATCAATGTTCAGAAATTAACATACACAGGTGCAGATTTAAATGCATGCCAAAATCATCTCCTCCTTAGTACATAAATCACATAATTACTACGCAATAGTGAAAGAAGAAAGCTAATAAAGGAGAGAGAAAAGGAAGGAGAGACCAGGGAAAAGAAAGGCTGAGAAAGATGTGAAAAACTTATTATCAAAGGAGGTACAAGAAAGGTAATATATAGGAAAGAAAACCATAAAAAGCAGAAACTAAAATAGAATAACAGAAAAAGCATTCCTAATTGTAAATCAGGTAGTGTAGATTAACATAGCCGAACGGTTAAGGTCAGATATACCAAACGGTATATCTGTTATCATCGTCACAATAACCAAACGGTGAGATGATTCAACATAGCCGAACGGTTAAGGTAAGATATACCGAACGATATTTCTGTTATTATCGTCACAATAACCAAACGATGAGATGATTCAACATAGCCGAACGGTTAAGGTCAGATATACTGAACGGTATTTTTGTTATCAGCCCCCCTCAAGATGGGTGTAAATATTTTGAAGACCCAGCTTGGAACGCAAAAGTTGAAAAGCAAGAGGGGGTAAGGGTTTAATTAATATGTCAGTTATCTGCATGGTTGTGGAAATAGGAAGTGATTTGATCAATCCAGCAACAACCTTTTCACGAACAAGATGACAGTCAATATCAATATGCTTTGTGCGTTCATGAAAAACTTGATTAGAAGCTATTTGTATGGCAGATTGATTGTCACAGTAGACAAGAGCAGGAGAGATGTAAGGAACGTGTAGATCATGAAGTAAATAAGTGAGCCACTGGAGTTCACACACTATGCTGGCCAGCAAGCGGTATTCAGCCTTAGAGGAGCTACGAGAAACGGTCGGTTGTTTCTTGGAGCGCCATGAAATGAGTGAACTTCCGAGGTATACAACGAACCCAGACCGATCGTCGAGTATCGGGACAGGTGGCCCAATCAGAATCACAGAAGGCCTTTAGCTGAATGATAGAATTATGTGGGAGAAAAATACCAGCACCAGGTGTACCTTTGAGGTATCGTAAAATACGAGTAGTAGCTTGTTGATGAGCAGAAGTTGGGGTAGACATGAACTGACTGAGGTGATTAACAACAAAAGTTATATCCGGACGAGTGGTGGTAAGGTAGATGAGTTTTCCAATGAGTCAACGATAAGAGGCAGCTGAAGCATCATCCAGTGACTGATCGATAGATAAAGATTGTTGTTTGTGAACCATTGGAGTAGGGACATGAGAGCAGTCAAGCAGACCAGTGTTAGTAAGGAGGTCCAGAACGTACTTTCGTTGGCTAAGATGGATTCCTTTGGAGTTGCGTGCAACCTCAAGACCGAGAAAGTAAGTTAGATTACCAAGATTCTTTATACGAAAGGTAGAATGGAGAAGGTTGGTAATACGTTGTATTTCTCCATTATTGTTGTCGGTTATGATGATATCATCAACATAAATGAGAAGTGCCGTAATGTAATCACCATCATGTTGCAGAAAAAGAGAATTGTCAGAAGTGGAACAATTATAATTATTTGAGAGTAAGAAATGGTGTAGCTTAGCATACCATTGTCGGCCAACTTGTTTGAGACCATATAAAGATATTTGCAGTTTGCATACCTAATTTTTAGTTGAGGTGGTAAGTCCAGGTGGAACTTTCATATAGACATCTTCATGAAGATCACCATGTAGAAAAACGTTGTTAACATCCAATTGTTTGAGTGACCAATTCTTGGAAGCAACAATGGCGAGAAGAAACCAAACAGTGGTGAGTTTGGCGACAGGTGCAAAAGTATCGAAGTAGTCTAACCCTTCAATTTGGTTATATCCTTTGGCGACCAGTCGTGATTTATATCGGTCGACCGAGCCATCAGAATTATATTTGATTTTATAAACACATCGACAACCAATAACAGTTTTATTAGGTGGTAAAGTAGTTAGAACCCAAGTATTATTATCCTGTAGAGCATCAAGCTCGGTACACATAGTAGTAACCCATTGCGGTTGTTTTGAAGCAGCAAAATAAGATGTTGATTCAGTATCAGATGAAATGGATAAAATGGTATGCTTAAAATGAGTAGAAAGATGATCATAATTAAGATAATTAGTAATAGGATAGTGAACAATACTATTAGTTTTAAAATCCTTTAAATAAGCAGGAATCTTACGTGGTCTAGAAGACCGTCTTATACTATCAAAAGTATCATTACCAGTAACATCAATAGAAGTGATATTTGTGGATGTACTATGAGTAAGATCATTAGTGCAAGGAATAGTTGAATTAGATAAATTATCAGCTGCAGTAGGGTCGATCAGTAAAAGGTCATCATAGTTATTGGTGTAATTGGTGGGCAAAGGCAGAGATAAGGAGTTGTCGGTTTTATGAGTATTTTTATATGGGAAAATATTTTCATGGAAAATAACATTGCGGGATATATCAACCTTATGATTTTTGAGATTTAAAAAGAGATAACCTTTTGTGTGCTGTTTAAAACCTAAGAAAATTCCAAGAACAACACGATCATCAAACTTCTTTTTGTGAGCAGTAATGGTGTTGGCATAGTAGAGGCAGTCAAAGATACGCAACATTGAGAGGTCACAAGGAGATCAATGAAGACGTTCGTATGGTGTATCATTCTGTAAGATAGGTGTGGGCATCTGATTGATAAAAAAACAGCATGTTGGGCTGCATAACACCAGAAAACAGTGGGAAGATGCGAGTGAAAAAGTAAGGCATGAGTGATATTTAATATGCGTTGGTGTTTACGTTCGACAACACCATTTTGTTCAGGAGTTTCAACACAAGTAGTGTGATGATTAATGCCCTTGTTGGAGAAAAGATCATACATAAGAAATTCAACACCATAATCAGTTCGGATATTTTTTACCTTTTTATTGAATTGAGTTTCTATGTTGCAAAGAAAAGTAAGAATATGATTTTTAACAGAAGATTTATCTAACATAGGTATAACCCAGGTGTAGCGAGAAAAATCATCAACTATAGTTAACAAGTATTTAAAACAATTCATAGAAGCAATACAAGGACCCCATATATTAATGTGCAACAGATCAAAAGAAGACAATGAATGAGATTTACTAGTAGTGTAAGGGAGTTTCTTTTGTTTAGTTCGATGACACGCATCATAGGAATCTGAGTATCATTTTGTATATAAGCATGTTTGGTTTTTAAAAGATGTAACCTGTCATTTGAAAGGTGTCCAAGACGAGCATGCCATAAGTTTGGATTCTGAATAGAGCAAATTAAAGAATTACAACTAGTATCATGTTTACAGGCAGTTGAGTCAAAAAAATATAAGCCATTGTGATGTCTAATCAAACCAATCTTCTCTTGACTTTGTGTGTCCTGCATAATGCAGCCAGAAGGAGAAAAAATTAATGTGCAAATAAGATTTGCAATAAGCTGTGAAACAGAGATAAGATTGAAAGAAACATCAAGAATACAGAGGACAATAGAAAGACAAAACTTAGGATTGAACCGAACGGTATCCTTTTAATGAGCATGTATAATTTTGCCATTTGGTAAAGTTACGGGAATAGGAATAATCTTTTGGTAAAAAGAAAAGAATTTTAAAGAGATGCAAATATGATCGGTGGCACGAGAATCAAGAAGCCAAGTATTAACAGAATGCACTTGAAGAGCTGAAACAATATTACCTGGAGAAGTGTTTGTGGAGAGTGTTCCGACTTGATTAATGTGCACATTAGAACCGTTAGGCTCATATTGTTTGAATAATTCTGCGAGAATCTGATATTGCTGAGGTGTGAGTTGAACAGTCTCGGCAGAAGGTCGTTCTTGATCCAAGTCGTTCGGTTGACGATCACCATGAGTGGATGAAACAACATTGTGAATCTGGCCGATCTTGTTGTTGAAGGGTTTATGACCAGGAGGATAGCCATGTTTCTTGAAGGAAACATCTATGGTGTACCCAGTTTTATGACAATAAGTGCAGATTTTACGAGTATTATTATTTGTAGTTTTGACCGAACGGTGATCTTGACTAGGAAAACCATGTTTTTTGAAGCAGGTGTTTTCTTGATGACCAACCCGATTGCAGTAGGTGCAAGTAACAAGAGTAGAACCGTTCGGTGAAGAAGAGAGATTAGAAAAAGAATTGGTTTTCACAGGGGTAGTAACATGGTCGGTCACTAATTGACGTTCTTGTTGAATAACAAGTGAAAAAAAATCTGGAAATTGGAGGAAGAGGATCAAGAAGAAGAATATGTGATTGTATATTGTTATAGTTATCGTTCAAACCTCGTAAGAGTTGCATGGCACGATCTTCATGTTTCCGTTGAGAGAGTATCAAAGAAACTGTACAAGAACATTTGTGCTGACAAATGCAGACGGGATCTAGACGGAAGTTGTCAAGTTCATCCCAAATAACTCTGAGTTTGGTGAAGAATTCGGTGACGGAGAGCTCGCCTTGGGACATGGTGGCAGCTTCCATTTGTAATGTTGAAATGCGAGCAAGATCACCTTGGGCAAATCGATTTTTCAAGTCATTCCATATATCAACAGCATGATCCATCCATATTAAGCTTTCACGGATGGAAGGAGAAACAAAATGCAGGAGCCATGAAACCACCATACTATTGCAGCAGATCCAAACAGGGAAGAAAGCATCCGTTTTTGCAGGTTGAATAGCTGATCCAAGAACAAATTCTACCTTGTTCTTGGAAGAAAGAGCCGTAACGAAAGATATGCTCCAGGAATGATAATTTGTGGTGTTAAGAACGGATGATACAAGGGATATGACAGGGTTTTCATTGGGGTGAAGGTAAAGATATGAATGGATGTTATCATGGCTTAAGAGATGGGATTAAGTGGTTGCCATTAAAAAGGGAGAAAAAAAAATAAGAACAAGGATGCAGAAAGTTAGAAAACAGCGGAAATTTCTTCCGATACCATCACATAATTATTATGCAATAGTGAAAGAAGAAAGCTAATAAAGGAGAGAAAAGAGGAAGGAGAGACCCGGGAAAAGAAAGGATGAGAAAGATGTGAAAAACTTATTATCAAAGGAGATACAGGAAAGGTAATAAATATATAGGGGAAAAAACCATAAAAAAATAGAAACTAAAACAGAATAAAAAAAAATCATTCCTAAGTGTAAACCAGACAGTGTAGATTAACATAGCCGAACGATTAAAATCAGATATACCGAACGGTATATCTGTTCTCATCATCACAATAACCGAACGGTGAGATGATTCAACATAGCTAAACGGTTAAGGTAAGATATATCAAACAATATTTTTGTTATCATCGTCACGATAACCGAATGATGAAATGTTTTAACATAACCGAACGGTTAAAGTCATATTTACGGTATTTCTGTTATCAATAAATCAATGTCACTTTTCAAAATTTAAAGTAGTAGGAAGAATATTATTGAAAATCCAAATTATTCTACCTCTCATATTAAATAAAAATAAAAAATTTAAATATTAAATGAAAATTAAGACTCAAATATATTATTTTAAGATTTTGAATTAAAAATAATGGTAATATTTTATATATGAATTAAACTGATCATATCTTGGATATTTTCTCCTCGGTGATTCCCCGTCAGAAAACATCATTAACTTTAGACAGCCACCAAAGGGCATAAGTCACCATTATTTCAATTATTATTCTGTATCTGTGTGAATATTTTATATCACCACAAATCAGAGGGACGCACATCAGCTAGCCCTAAATTCATCCTGATTTCTTTATTTCTCTCCGCAACATCACTCACTCTCAAGTGATAAAATCTGGTTCACATTGTTGAATGTGTGAGTTAAAAAGAAGCTACCAACTCTGTCTCAGTCTCATCCTCTTCAAAAACTCATTTTCTAGATCAGTGCAACACAATCTGTAAGTCTCTTGTTTCAACAGATTTACGGTACCAAGAGTGATTCTTCGGTTTATTTTAACGTATTTAAAAAAAAAGTAAAAGCACATATTTCAAAGAGAGGGTTGGATTTTAATTTTCAAAACATAAAAAATTGATGCTAAATGATCTTTTTAAAATATTTTTTTTATCTCTATTTTGGTCAACTTTATTTAATATAAGATTATTTTTCGAATGTTTTATATAGTTCTTATTTTAGTAAATTATATTTAATCATATTTTTCTCTCGTCTAAGTCTTTAACTAAAGATAAACTTAAATGTCCCATATAAGTCGTAATTTCTTTTTTATTTTTTTATTTTAAAATAGTTCAAGTTAAAATTATGTTATATAATGTCACTGTTTTTGTTCGATCTTTTCTAATTTTTGTTAATTTCAATTTAATATGAAATTTCATTAATTTTATTCAATTCAGTCTAAATTTTAAATTCTAAAAAGAAAATTCTTCCTCATTTTAAAATTAGATAAAAAAAATTTCATCATTTTTAAAATTAAAAGAAAAATTTCTCATTAATTTTAAAATTTGAATGAAAATTCTTCGTTATTTTTTAACTTCTTCATTATTGTTTTTAAAATTATATGAAAAATTCTTCATCATTTTTAAATTAGAAGGAAATATTTAATTTATTTTTAAAATAAGAATTTATTTTTATTTTTAAACTAATTCTTAGCCTATTCTTTTATATGTAAAAAAAATAAAAAATAAATCCAATAATTATATTTCAATAATATAGTTAAAACTGGTTTAAAATGAATTTTAATAAAAATTAAATTTAGTCTCAATTTAGAAATTAATGAAATTAGGATTAAATTAAACAAAATTAACAAAAATTTGAACTAAATTAAAAAATTTAAAGAAAATTATTTGACATGTGACATTAACATTATCAAAATGTATAAATACGTAAATAATTTTTTTCTATATTAAGAAAAATTAAAAAAGAATAAAAAAATAAAAAAATACAAACTTACACATTATACACAATTCATTTTGTATTAATAATTTAGATGACATTATGAAAAATGACTAAATTGAATATAATTTACTAAATTAAAGACTATATTGAACTTCCTAAAAACATAAATCTCATTGAATAGGTTCACAAAACCAGAAACCAAAAGAGTATTTAAACTTGGATTTTCAACTTTTTTACATTTTATGATTGTATTGGGTGCAACAGGTCTATTTGTAATAAAATAAAAATATTAATTATTTTGATGATAATATTTTTATTATTTTAAATGATAAATTTAATTTCATTTTAAGATTAATTTATATATATATATATATATATATATATATTATCAATAACAAAAATAATAGTAATTAGAAATAAATACAAAATAGTAATATTTCTGTTATTTAAAAAAATAATTTTCTTTTCTTTATATATATATATATATATATATATATTCATATATAATTTTTTTTAATAAATACATAAATATATTAATTAATTAGAGAGAATCATTGTTATTTATATTATCGATTCCTTCCCCAACATATTATTAACAATAATATAGTAATTATTTTTATTTTATTTATTAATTTTAAATTACAACTTCATAAAAGAAATTTTCTGTTTTATTTATTTGTATAAATAATTAGTTTTCTTCTTTTAATATATATATATATATATATATAT